AGGAAAGAACATCCTGTCTGTAAGGACTGACGGAACTGTACTTCTCTGAGGACTGAACCTCCAGCCAATCTGTGAAGTACAAACCCAGCCTCACCTCCTCTAGCACCAAGGAACTCTCTTTAATACAACTCACCTCATGTTCCTCCCTTTTCCCATGAAAACCCTGAGCCTCTCTCCTGTAACTGGAACACTGTTTGGGTTTCTACCTGAATCTGTGCTGCCCGAATTGCAATCCTTTGATCCTGAATAAACGTTTTGCCTCTTGAACTGGTTTCTGTTTTTGTGCGGTGACAGCATCACACATGCTCATAGTTAAAGTGCAAACTGAAACAAGAGGGTGAGGGAGGAGAGAGCAGGGTGTATTAGTCGTAGTTCTGCCACATTCCAGCTGGGTCACTGGAGAAACCACGTGACTGCTCAGGGCCAACCCCCTCATCTGTTTAGAAATGGGTCGGTTAGCACCTGTGCCGTCCACTGAGGTAGCAGCAAGGGAATCGCCCCGATGCGGCCGACCCTGGGGTGAGGTGCCCCCGCCAGCCCCCACCATGGAAGCTCGAGTTCACTTCTCCAGCCCTGTCACCCGGAGCCCCTGCCTCAGTCTTCTCTGTACCAGCACCTGGCTGTGCCGCTCCAAGTGCACTCCAAAGTGGGCTCTCACTGGACGGCTGCTGGAGAACCACACCAGCAACACTGGCCAGTGGTGACACAAACCATACCAGCGAATCAGAGGTACAAGACGAGGAACTCCCATTCTCACAGCCTATCACAGAGGCGGCCGGAGCTCTGGTCATCCGCACTGCAGAGGGGCAAGTCAGGAGAGGTTACAGGAGACACGGATATGCAGCGACAATTTTTTCATCATTTTAAAATGCACTTGATAATCATAATAATAACACTGTTGGGAAATACCGGAACAACTGTACTTCTCCTTCTGGAGAGAGTAGTAGGAATTGCGAATGCTGTGCTGACCCCTCCCTGGGGTGGGTGTCTCCTCTCCAAAGGGGGACAGTTACCAAACCCTGCACAGGACAGAGGCAGGCGCCTGAGGCAGCCCAGCTGACAGCGAGCCTCAGGAAAGACACCTGTCACACGTGGGAGGAACTACGTATATCACATGTGAGAGGAAATGTGTAGCATGTGTGAGGAAGCATGTGTCGCATGTGAGAGGAACTGTGCACATCACATGAGAGGAATACACGTCACAAATGAGAGGAACATATATGTCAAGTGTGGGAGGAAACACATATGGCATACGAGCAGAAGCAGGTGCGTTGTGTGCGGGAGGGACCACCGTGGCCTGTGTGAGCAGGATGTGTGTCACGTGTGAGAGGAAACGTGTCATGTGTGAGAAGAAGCACACATCACTTATAAGAGCAACATATATGCCACATGAGAGGAAATGCATGTCTCGTGGGGGACACATGTTGCACGTGAGAGGAAACATGCACATTGAGTGTGAGGGCTGCCTGTTTCCAGAAGCACCTGTGAGCAGAGCATGCATGTCTGACCCTCCTCCTTCCTCTCGCCTCTCACTTCTCACTCCACCCCTCCTCCCCGGGGTTCCCTGCCCAGGAATGAGCCACAGCACTATGAAAAAACAGGGTCACTGGCAAGTGACAGACATTTCATCATCGGAGCCTGAAGGCCTCAACTCAAATACCACCTTCTCTGTGACGCTGGCTCTAATGCCACCAGGAAGAAATAAGTGCCCCTTCTCCTGGTCACATGCCACTTTGCACACACCTCTCTTACACTTATCACTCCAATTATCTGCAAGTCTGCTTCACCATTTCATGAAAGCTCAACTCAAGCACGAATATATCCATTCATTTTTTGTGTATCTAGTACATAACACAGTGAGGGGAATTAGAATCAGAAATGCTAAATAAGCATTTGCTGAATGAATGAATGAATGAATGTCCCAACAATGTCACACACCTTTCTCAGAAATGGAAAGGGAAACACCAGCATGTGGAAAACACTTTCCTACCTATCATTGGATTCACATACAAAAGACCATCGCAGGTGAAGTGTGGAAATAGGAAGTTATAAAACCCATCCTTTAATTCAACCATGGCTAGAAAAATGTAACTGAAGCCATAGGCTACAAGCCTTAGTTGACAGTTTAATGAGGAATTTTGAAAGGAATCAGACAACAGATACAGTAGTTCTGCAAGAAAAGCACTCAGGTAGCCATTACATTTTGGAGGATGTGGAAAAGATTTCCAAATAGTTACATCCTTGTTACCATAAAATTTAGGTTAAATGTGTAACTTTTCTGTACCTTACCATTGGAAAGTTGAGTTTTTAAGACTGATTATTAAAAAAGTCAAAGTCTCTCATTTAATGTGGAAATGTTTCTTTCACTAGGTCCATGGACTGATGATTTGTATTCTAGAAACCAGGCCTGTTGGCCTCAAGAAATCACATTTGATAAAACGGGCACAGAGTTGTAAACTACGTTTGTCCTGGGAGGGTGATTACCGACCCACCTGGGACACTTACAGCTCACTATGATAGTGCCACTCAAGAGACCCCCGCCCCAAGCCTGTTAGAAATGCAAAAGCTTGGGCCCAAACCAACATTATCTTGCTCCAAAAAGGATTTAACTCAGGTTAAGGCACTTTCTGTTATTTGGAGCTGATCTTTTCATAACCAAATGGTATGTAATTTTGGCTGATAAAACCAGGTACAATGTAACTTATTAAAAATGCCTTACATTGTCTCATTTTGTTTTTAATTCATGTGTTTCTGTTAGCTTTTAATATTTTTTTAGAAAAATTGTATAAGCATCCCTCATTATATAATAATAATAATGACAAATAATTTCTTCCTTATTCTCAGAAAGTCTAAAAACTGATGCTCAACCAAAAATGTCAATGGTTCAGCCTCAGAATTGGGTGGAATTAAAAAGCAAGTAGATGAGAAAAAGGCACTTAGAAGCTTGGGGACGAAGCCTGGGGACAAAGCCAGGTGGAATACTCTAACGCCTGTCCTATGACAGATTCTGCACAAAGTCGACAACCAGACAAAAGCCACGTGCCTGACTTCAGACTCCTACCCCCTGGGCTCCTTTCTGCCAGCCGGCGGGGGGCGCCTCCGCACAGCGGAAGCAGCGGCGCCTCCATGGGCAGCTGTCTGCGCTGCCACCAGGTCAGTCTTCCTCCCTCTCCCCTCCAACAGCCTCCCCCAGACTGCACGTGTCACTATGGGGACTCCTCTCTCCCCGTGACATGGCCACAGGTAACTATTTTTGTACATCAATCATTCTCACCTGACATTGTCCACGAGAAAAGTAACACACACACATACATACACGTTCAGAAAACTGAAAATTAGAAAGAAAACAATTCACATCACAAACGTTCACATCACCTGAAGATAACCATGGCTCAAACTTTGAGCCCTTTTGACCTATTTCCTTCTAGTTTTTATTCTACGTAGAATTCAATTTTGTACTTTACCTACTTTTTTTTTAATTGTGGTATACTAACATAACATTATATTAGTTTCAGGTGTACAATGTAATAATTCAATATTTGTATATATTGAAAAATCATCTTTTTTAACACAATAGTGATCATAGAGTATATACAGTTTTAACGTTTCGCTGAATCATCTAACAATTCTTAAGTTGTGATGCTTATGAGGAGTTTATAACTTTTAATGAGCATAGTGTGTAAATACTATTCCACTGACAGTAACCATGGTCAACTAGGTTGAGTCATATGAATCTATCATTATAAGCAGCAATTTCATATTACCCAACCTAATATTTGCACAGTTCGATTGCTTCTAATTTTTTCACAATTATATGCACCATTACAATAATATTCCTAGTATATAAAGCTTTTTCTATGTTTTGGGTATAGGAATACAAGTTAAATAATATGAACATTTATTTATAAAGCTCTAGATATATATCACCAAATTAGCTGCCAAAATGACTATGCCAACCTAAAACCCCTCATCAACATACAAGTGACAATTTCACCATACTCTATGCAGCACCTAATATTCTTTGTCAGCTATTTTAATGCCATTTCCCCTGTGTGACAATGGTAACCAAGTAGGAGCCCTGCCCCATTTTACATAGCCTTATGTGCATCTCCCCAGGGTCAAAGCCAGTGCATGTCTTCACAGCATCCACTGCACCTGTGAGGTACAGAAAGTGCACGGCTTTATCTCTATTTTATTTATTTTTTTTTTTAAAGATTTTATTTATTCAGTTTTTCCCCCCAAAGCCCCAGTAGATAGTTGTATGTCATAGGTTCACATCCTTCTAGTTGCTGTACGTGGGACTCGGCCTCACGTTGGACGGAGAAGTGGTGCCTCGGGGCGCGCCCGGGATCCGAACCCGGGCCGCCAGCATCAGAGCGCGCGCACTTAACCGCTAAGCCACGGAGCCGGCCCTTTATCTCTATTTTAGTGATGAGGAAAATGAAGTCCAGGAAGGTTAATCCATTCGCTCAAGGTCACACGTTTATGTCAAGCGTGAACTGATCCCCGATCTAATCCATATCCAATATTTATCCAATATCTTTTCTACTACAGTGGCCAGAACAGCAAACAGGTCACAACATGTATGTCTACCTGGATAGACTGGCAGTGATAGCCTGGGGCTCTCTGTTGACATGAACTATGGCCTCGTCCAGGCTCAGCTAGAGAGAGTGCGAAGAGCTATGAAAGAGGTTATCCACTAGCCCAGGGAGAGGGGTGAGGCTGCCCACGTAGCTGGATTGCTTCTCAATCACTTACAGTAAATCCTATACAACCACAAGACCAAAACATAAAACTACGACAGTAATGCTACACAGAATAACTTTAAAATATGGAACTCAATCATTGCATACAGTTGGATATTTAAATCCCAGTGAAAGCTTTATTTTGTTTGTGTGGCATTAATTTTCTCTAATGTTGCTTGGAAAATCAAGAGCAAAATGGTTATAAAACTAAGAATAGGCTTAGTTAACATGTATACATTTGTCAAAAATAGTTACCTGATTATCATATTTAAGAGACTGCGTCCCAACCAAAAATCGAATGGCATCTGTTTCTGCAGTCTGAGGTGTAAGAGCACGTGCCTGCAGTAGAGAAGGAAAAGACACACACATTTATGAAGTTAGATTTAACAGATAGAAATTAAAAAGGCAGTTACCTCTACTCTGATGGAGTATCAACTAGCATGGAGAATCTGCAAGGCAATTTAGAAATACGCATGAAAAGCCTTTAACTTTTGTATACTTTGTGACACAATTCCACTTCAAATGTGTATACGGAAACAATTGTAAATAGGCACAAAAATTAAGCATTAAAGATGTAAATTTTGTTTTTAATAAAACCATAATTTTCAACAGTTAATAGATTGGTTGAACATATCATTCTGCAACAAAACAGAATTTCCAGTTTCCAGGGGCAACTGGAAAACCAAACAAAATACTCTGAATTTGTTTCAAGGCATCAGAAAGCTACCACGGCAACGAAGAAAGGCCAAGATCCAGGAAAGAAAGTTTAGAGAGGCAAGGCCGGCCTCTGGCCCACTTTCACCTAGAGGCATTCGTCAATTTGGAAAGTGCAGTGAAGCGGCTGAGGAGAGCTTCTGACAGACTCAGGGGCTGAGGGCACAAACACAGAGCGCAGGGCCCACCTCAGAGGAGGGGCCAGCAGTGCGCTGAGGCCTAGGAGCAAAGTGAACTAGAATGAGATCAACCACACCACTAAAGCTCCAATCTTCTGTCCCTGATCAGATTCACGGTGGTCTGAGCATGCTGGTGCTCCCAGGCCAGCCAGCTGCCTGCCAGAAGTAAGAGTAAACCCTCTGGAGGGCAATAAAGACATCCAAGGCTACTACAGTTTTCCACATACAGTGTCTAACATTCAATCAAAAATAACCAGTCATACAGCAAGACAAAATCGTTTGATAAAAAACCAGACAACAAACAACAGAAAAAGGCCTGCCAAGCATTCAGATGATCAGGTTCCCTGGGAAACAAGCTCTAACACGAGAAGTTTGTGCACAGGAGATTCACTGGGGGTGCTCTCGGGACTATGCCAAGTGAGGGGTACAGGAAGCAGCATGGGGCAGAAGAAAAGTGGGACTGCAATGCATCACGGGGAGTCAGGAGCTGGGATAGCCCTTCAGAGTTGGGGCAAGATGGCCAGGCCTCTTTACCACCCACCCCCACCCCCAGTGATCAGTCACTGGATGCAGGCTGCCCCTGGAGAGGGGTGTGACTTAGGGCAAAGGGGCTCTGTTCTCTGAAGGCAACCCCAGAGCAGGACCCAGCTAAGAACTCTCAGCCACCAATCCCAGAAAGCTGATGGATTTCCTGCAAGAGAGATCTGGGCAGTGCAACACAGCATAAATTACAATACCTACACTTAACACATTCAATAATTAAAAGACAAAACTAGGAATTTCAAGTGAAGAATCTAAGGCTTAGAGAGGAAAAGATTATACAACTGGTTAATATTAGTGCTGTGACTAGTACTTCAGGCTTATACATTCAAACCCAGCTCTCTTGCAGTATAACCAGTAACTGTGCCTAGATCAAGCCCCTGTAGCTCATGCTTTGATGCCTGTGGGAGGCAGAATAACAGCCCCCCAAAAATGTCCACATCCTAATGCCTGGAACCTGTGCATATGTTAACTTACACGGCAAAGGGACCGTGCAGGTGTGATTAGATTAAGGATCTTGAGATGGAAAGACTATCCTAGATTATCTAATCAGAAAAATCTTTCCTGGCTGTAGCCAGAGAGGTATGTAATGACAGAAAAGAGAACCTGAGAGGTGGCAGAATGAGAAGGACTTGGACGGCTGGGAGAGGTACGCAGGCAGCCATGAGAGGGAGGCAGGCAGCCGTGAGAGGGTTGCAGGCAGCTGGAGAAGGTTTGGGCAGCTGTTCCTGGCTTTGAAGATGGAAGAAGGAGTCCATGAACCAAGGACTATGAGTGGCCTCTAGTAGCTAGAAAAGGCAAGGTAACAAATTCTCCCTGAGCTTCCAGGAAGGAATGAAACCCTGCCAATGCCTTGATTGTAGCCCAGGGAGGCCCATATTGGGATTCTGAACTACGCCACCATGAGGCGATAAAGCGCTGTTCTTCTAAAGGGTAGGCGGGTGCTGATTTGTGACTACAGCAACAGGAAGCTGACACTGCCTCCTCTGGTTCACTAAACGGGCCCACTCTGCCCACATGCTTTCCCCCAACCCCGATGCAGCTAGAAACAGTCTTGACGTCCTCCTTCCTCCTCCACCACATCCAATTCCTACATACATTTCTCAATTTCTTGATTCATTCTTTTTAAAACAGAGGAAGAGAAACAGTTTAACAGTTGTTCTGTCCATTTAGCCTGTCGAGTTTTGACTTGGTTTCCACAATTGGGGCCACAACAAGATCTTCTGGGGGTCCACTGCAAAAAGGTTTGGAGACAACAATCTCATGTACTGCTCTCAGAAACTCTGACCATATCACGGATGTTCCCACCCCTCCTCAAAAGAGTCAACGGCCCAGAAACATCAACTACTAAAATATGTCTCAGCAAAACCAAGAAAATACATGTCTGAAGCAGTATTCACACTATCAGACATTTGGAGGAAAAAAATACCTATTTCAGCCAATTCAACTACTTAAAGTACTTTCAGGGGTCCCACTGTCAGTCTGCCTACACCCTCTTCAGCAAAACTTGGCTAGACAATTTCTGGAGTCTTAGCCCTCTGCAAAACTGATGAATTCTTTGTGAATCTACAGATCTTCTGCCAAAAATGTACATACATATACATAGAATCTTGTATGTCATATCAGCAAATTCACAGACCCTCTAAATCCCATCCAATTTAAATGCCCCTTGCTTAGAGAAGAATGACTCTGATGAGGAAGGGTCCACGCCATTCCTGGAAGAGAAAACCCTGACTGCCCCGGAGGCTGAATCCCACCAAGCAGAGAGGACGCAGGACTAGCTCCACCTTCAGACAAGAACACTCAGACGCAAATGGAGGCACATGTTGTCGCCCCAGATGGAAAGAGTCTGAGAGTCCCCAAAAATAGGACCCAGGAGAGGACTTATCTGAGAGAGAATAGATTATTTTTCCATTAAAAGACCTCACCACGCTTCAAGTCAGCAATTAAGAGCTGAATACACCCCTGCACAGTGGTGGTGTTATGCAGAGTATCACAGAGGTATAAGACAAAGGCCCTGTCCTCAGTTAACAGACTCGCATTAGGAGAGAGGGGACCAGGCACCAAAAAAGCAAGATGGTAAATGATTAAGCATCAAAAATACTGGCACAGACCATATTTCAGCAAATTAACTTTATTCAGATGCACCCACAAGCTCAACTTTAGACAGAAGGCAGGATTAAATGCCATCACTTTAAAATAGAAGAAAACAAAAAAGAAATAAATTGTATCAGTGGCTACCAGACTGAAAAATAAGAGTAATTCAGAGATAGAGAAGCTACTTGTGTGCCAAAATGAACCAGCATTCAGTTTGCTTAATCCTAAAGCAATTTACAGAGCCAAGAATTGCACGCCTGGGGAGGAATAATGGTAAACATGCAAAAAAAGTCTGAACAGATCATCTATTTCAGAGAGTAAAGCTGCACAGGTTTAAAAAAGCACCACGAATTTGAAACTGCCTTGTTCCATCTCACACAAGAAGACACTTTATGAAAAACTGAGGGGGAAAATCACTCTTATAAAAACATTTAAACTGCACCTTTAAAAATTACAGTGAAGGGGCCAGCCCTGTGGCTTGGTGATTAAGTGCGCGCGCTGCGATGCTGGTGGCCCGGGTTTGGATCCCGGGTGCGCATCGAGGCACCACTTCTCCGTCCATCCTGAGGCCGAGTCCCACATACAGCAACTAGAAGGATGTGCAGCTATGACATACAACTATCTACTGGGGCTTTGGGGGCAAAAAAATAAAATCAATAAAAAAAAAAAAAAAAAAATTACAGTGAAATCTCATAAACGTTTAAGCTCTTTCTAGTACATTTATTGGGTAAAATTACAAGAACAATTTAACTCTGGCCATTTGGGTGACAGATGTATATCTATGTCTGTAATTCTGCCACTTTGATTAGGCAAATGATAAAATGACCTTTCTAAGTCTAGTCATAACGATGGTTTTGAGGTGTTCCAATGACCCTATCAAAATAACACCAAATTTTTATAGTATGATGGGTCACAAAACATCCACGTATTTTACATCTTGGTTCACCCCCACGAATCAGTGAGGGAGACAGGAAGACAGGATCATGTTATGCCCACTGGGAAGATAAAGACACTGAGGACCAGAAATGGTCCCAAGCTCCTAGAGAGGAAGAAGAACGCAGACGCCGGCCTGAGGTCCAGGTCTCCTTCTATGACGGTGACGCAGGGAAGTGACAGCACAGTAAGATGTTTACATATTGGGTTGAAGTCAGAACATGGGTCATTTTACCATAATTCCACGTGTTCTCTCCTGCTCTCAAAGAAAGGCCGTGGTGTTTTCTTCAGAGCTGTCTTTCTAGTCTACCACCACCATGCAGTGAACCAAACCAGGAAGAGGCAACTGCAGATGCAGAGTAGTCAAGGTAACAGCAGGGAAGGATCATCAGAAACGTTAAGACGAGTCCTACCCTGTTACGGGAGGCAGAGGTATCAGGACCTAGGAGTACTAACTGAGTGTACAAAACTCCTTGGGAAATGCAAATCTGTATTCATTTGCTCATTAGATTGAGCAAGTAGATAACGGGGAGCAGACTGTCCTCAGCCATAGGTCCTCATCAAAGTCTCCCCGTCAAGAGCCACCCTCCGGATAAGACAAAGGCCACCTAGGAGGAGAGCAAGTGGAGAAGACTCCTGCTTTAGGCAGTAGAGACTCAGGGCCACTTTGACCTCCTTCCATAAGCAATATCCCTCCAGAAACGACCTCTTTACCAAGAGCTGCCCCAAATCACCAGTATGCTGAAGACATCACCTAAATCTCCGTCTTCACAGAGCAGATCAACTCCCCAGAGTTCTAACACATTATTTCCTTAAAACAAAAGAGAGAAGACGGAAAAGGAGGGAAAGTCCCAACTTCTTTATTCTGTGCTCGCT